GGGGGGGGGGGGCCTGCAGAGCAGCAGTGTCATGAAGCTGGGCGGAGCAGCAGCTCCACATCCATGATTTGTCCCGGGCCCCACACCCTGCTCAGGCCAGCTCTGCCAGGAGGGATTCAGAAGAGGAAGAGGCGGCAGATTAAAAAACAATGGCCTTGTGTCACTGCTACAGCCTGCCCATCTCCCAGTCCAAGCTGCTAGAAGAGGCTTTACGCATCAGTCTGGCACAGTCAACTGCAGCTAGTGTGTCTGTATTACCTTTCTGGGAATGTGCTGGGCAGAGCTTGGACCTGTCTGCTGCTAAACGCTCAGCATTGTGGTGGGTGCTGGAAACATCTTCCAGGACATGGCACAATATCAAATGGGCAGCCCAGGCACATGCTTTCCAATGTACAGGAAAACAATGGGAAAGGTAAGGACACTTGCTGCAGAAGACTGGGCTGCATTACTTAGTAGAGCATGCACACAGCTGGCTTCTTCCCAGGCCTGCTCATTAAATATGGCCTTATACACTGCCCCTCTCTGAGCCTGTCTCCCCAAGGATATCACAGAGACAATACTGACCTCTCTCAGAAAGAATTATGAAGTAGTTAGAAACTGACCATATCAGTTTCTAACAAAATCACTTTCAGAGCTACTTGCTCTGGTTCCCAAATGTTCATACAAAAGGTGGCACCAATTTAACCAAGTGGGATCAGAATCCCATTTGGTTAAACTGAGCTAATTTTCATGTGGGCCCCAGCTCACAGCTACTTAATGCTGGCACAGCACTTCAAAGATGTAGAATGTGAGATTAATGCTCACATTGATGCTTCTGTTGCAGAGGGTCCACAGTAAACTAACAAGAGAAGTAGGCTGTCTCAGTGCAGTCACAAGTGGTTAATTACTGACTCAGACCAACTAAAACAGCAGGATAAATTCCAACCTAATGCCTTATTCATTTATAGTCCTTCCTGAATCCTAGTAACATCCTTAATCTCCAAGGATGGACCTGTTATGGTTTTATCAAAACAGAAGACATGCCAGAACCTCAGACCAGAAGCTACTTCCCTGTATTGTATAGGAACAAAAAACGTGCACTAAACCCATTAACATCCACACAAAGAGTGTATGTACCAGGTCGCAGCAGACGCATACTGCAAAGCACTGCCCACATCAGAGCTCACAGCAGATGTCTGCCACTTTCGTAGGCAGCAAAAACTCTAATTAAGGCTGAAAACATGTTTCCATTTTAACCCACAATTTTCAGTTACTGGGAATACTGCAAAGAAGGTCCTTTTAGTGTTGAAAATTTCCACTATATCTGAGCCCAAGAGACTTTTTTTTCTTGCCCTGGGATGCTTGAGCAGAGTAGGTTCCAATTTATGTGAAGGTGAAATAAAGATATATACACACACCCCTCTGTGCAAATGTTCCCAGCTTTTCTTTTGTCTCAAGCAATGCAGGCACCATTAGGTTCTTCTCTGAGGAAGGGGAGTCAGATCAGCTTGGAAGAAAAGGTACTTAGGACTGTAGAGGATTCATAGATTTTAAAAGCAGCAGGGATTGTTACACCATTAAGTCTGGCTTCCTGCACATTTAAAGACACAGAAGGTAGAGTGAACCTCCACACAAGATTGGATGGAAAACTCTTCAACCTGTCAGGGCTTAAGGCAAAGATTAAAGTTAGAAAGGTGCTTACCAGGGAGCTTCCATTTACTGATGCTGATACTCTTATACCCCAAAACAAAGATCTATTACATGAACTCATAGATTGCCTCTCAAGAGCTTGCCAGGTATTTGCTCTCACCATCAGCATAAAGAAAACAGTTGTACTAGGACAGGGAGTTCCACAAGATCCATCAATCATCCTTAATGAGAACGAGCTGGCAGTAGTCCAAAAGTTCAGCTACCTAGGCTCTACAGTGACTACCAATTCTCACTGGATGAAGAACTTAAATGTTTTCACTGGAAAGGCTGACATCACCTTCAGCAGGCTAACTAAAAGAGAATGGAACAACTCAAAGCTTACCACCAAGACCAAAATACTAGTGTACAAAGCTTTCATACTCAGCACTGTCATGTATGGTGGAGAAACATGGACAGCTTATGCACACCAACAGAAAAGGTTAAAAAGCTTCCACCTGCACTGTTTATGCTGCATACTCAACATCAAATGGCAAGATAAAATTACCAACACAGAGGTTCTTCAGAAGGCAAATTTACTAAGTTTGACAGCCTTACCCAAACACAGATGACTGCCCCGGCTAGGCCACCTGAGCAGATTGGAAGATAGACACATACCCAAGGACATACTATATGGGGAACTACTGGAGGGAACAAGAATGTCCCAAGCTTCGCTATGAAGACACATGCAAATGAGATATGAAGGCATTTGGAATCAATCCTAACCAATGGAAAACCTTGGCAAGTGATTGTAAAAAGTGGCATCATCATCTCCACCATGGCATCAAAGTCCATGACAGAAATTGGATCCAACAGCTTGAAAAGAGCCTGCGGGAGTACGGAGCTCAGCTGGGCAGGGTGTGAGGTGTAGGGACCCCCCCGCCCCCCCACAGTCCTCCCAAGGTGTGCAGCCCCTGCTGCAGCAGCAGCAGCAGCAGCAGCAGATGGGGAGGTCAGGATGCTTGTGCCTGACACAGGCACCTTGTGGGGCACAGCTCTGGCCAGCGCTGCAAGGGGGGAGGGACTGCCTGGCTCCCTCTATCGCTGGGGCTCTATGCTGCGTGCCTGCAGCTCCACCCTTGTAACGGGGAAGCCCCGTGCTGGATGCCATGGAGAAGCAGGGGGTGGGGCTACCTCCACTCCTAGCAGAGTGCAGGGACCTGCGCAGCAAGGGGCGGAGGAGGCAGCAAGCTCCGGCTGCAAGTGTTGGAGTTGCAGGCACATGGTGCGGAGCCCCAGCAATAGAGGCAGCCGGGAAGGCTGCAGTCCTTCCCCCTGCATAGCACTGGCCGGAGACATGCCCCACTGGGCGCCTGTGCCAGGCATGAGTGTCCTGACCTCCCCACCTGCTGCTGCTACCAGCAGCTGGGGCTGCATGCCGTGAGGGTAGTGCGTGGGGGGGGGTCCCTACACCCCCCACCCTCCCTCATACCCCACACACCCAGACCCACTGGGTTGCCCCACAATCCCCACTGATATATACTTACACCCCAACATACCCTATACCCCCCTACACAGCCACAGCCTCTCAACCCCTCCACACACTCTCACACCCCACCATACATACACTATAAAAGAGTGACACTTTATTTTTGAGTTGTTATGCAATCCCTTATATATACAGTACACAATCACGTTATGACAAATATTTTTTGTAATAAAATTAAAATATATTATAGTAGATGTTTGACTTCCAGTGTATGGTTTTTTTTTTTCCTAAGATAACAACCCCCCCCTCCCAAAAGGAGGGGGGGGGGGCAGGAAGGAGAGGGACTTCCAGTGGCAAAGGTCAGGGGTTAGGGGGCAGGTTTTCTGGTCCCAGTGTGACGACCAGGGGGCAGGGCAACTGTCAGGGGGCGGACCTACCTATGCGGCTCCCAACAGCTTGCCAAAACTTGTTAAGTGGCCCTCCACCTGAACTAATCGCCTGCCCCTGATCTAGAAGGTAGTAAAGTACCTAAAACCACAGAACTCAGAACAAAAGCACAAACCTAATTAGAGCGTTGAGCCCACAGCATTGTGATCTTGCTATTGCCAATGAGCTATTGCTGGCAGCTTAATTTTAGTGAATTCCTACCACCCTCTATCATTTCAATGCCATGCCAAAAATATCTCCAAGCCT